CTTCCGCCTCAGCCTTCTGAGTAGCCGGAATTACAGGCGCGCGCTACCACGCCCGGCTGATTTTTTGATTTATTGTAGAGATGAGGTCTCGCTGCCCAGGCGGGTCTCGAACCCGCGGGCTCAGGCAATCCACTCACCTCAGCCTCCCAAAGGCGCGGGATTACAGGCTGAGCCCCCAAGCCCGGCGAAATAGGCATTTTTAATACAAATATTAAAATAGGTAAAACTAACCCATGATGATGGACAGCAGGATTGCCTTTTCCTTTTAGGGTACTGTCTGGGAAAGACATGAGGGGCCTTTGGGGAACTGGTTATGCATCACTCCTTGATCCAGGTGATGGTGCTCTGGGTATACTCATTCTGAAAATTCATTAGAGTGAATTAAACTTACAATTTGTTCACCTTTCTATATATTCAATAAAATCTTATTAAAACTAATGGGAACATAAAAATCGTATCTTTAATATTTGGTGCATCAAAGATATTGTGAACAATGTAGGGTGGGGCTTAAGAACTGTATTCTTACCATTCTTAGGAATATGATTCTACAGATATTTAAATAATTTAATTTGTAAACTATGGCATCTTATTTTGACAATAGCCACTATGAATTTTTAAGAAATAACTTGTGTGTTTATATTTTATAGAATGGTTTGATGTCAAATCAACAGTGGGAGAAGTTACTCTCAACCAAATTCCTGCCCAAGCCTCTGGGAGCAGCTATAATTCAAAGATTTTGAGGAAAAGAGCTGTCCCTGTTTCATGTAAGTTTTTGTTTTAACTTTCTATCTCTTAACATTAATTTTTTTGTTTAATTAAAGTTTTAAAAATAGTTAAAATATTGGTCTAGAAACTGTTGGTTGGGCGTGGTGACTCACACTTGAAATCCCAGCACTTTGGGAAGCCAAGGTGGGAGGATTGCTTGAGGCCAAAAGTTTGAGATAAGCCTGAGTAACATAGTGAGGCACCCACCACCACCAAAACAAATAAACAACAAACAAAAAAACCAAAGAAGCATTTATCCTCCTAGCTGCTAGTGCTTTGGGAGAATGAGGAGGAGGATCACTTGAGCCCAGCAGTTCAAGGCTGCAGTGAGCTGTGATCGTGACACTGCACTTCAACCTGAGTATGTGAGACCCTGTATCTAAACAACAACAACAACAACAACAACAACCCCAAATCCTGTCCATTAAATTGGTAAGCAGCTGTGCTTTCTGGTAGGTGGAGGCATATGGTCTACTAAGTCACTGCCACCTACCCTCCACCATGCTATTTAGATCCATTGAAGTTCTGATTTAGGCTTAAATAGGTGAGTCTGAAACAAGGGAAGCTCCTTAGAAGGACTCAAAACTCAATTCTTCAGTAGTTGGAGGATGAGTCAGTCCTAAGACATATACACATGCTTGCGTACTTAGACTTTTTAGGCATTTGTGTTACAATCAGTCACTTGTTTAAATCCTGTTAATCCAGAAAGCATTTCGACTACAGCAAACTACAGCCCATGGGTCAAATTCAGCCTGTTACCTAGTTTTGTATAGCCCCCAAGTTAAAAATGGTTTTTATTTTTATATATTTCATTTTTATTTTAAAGATGTGGGGTACAACTCAGGATTAGGTATATGAGTGATCATTGTACAGGTAAAATTTGGGCCTCCTTTTGTTCTCGACTCCGCCTGGTTTGAGATCAGGTACCCTTATTGATGTTATGTGCCTCCCCCCTGCCCCCCCTTCCTGGCAGTGTCCTGCTAAGTGCCAATTTCTTTCTTGTGGTATTATGGTAAGTGTTCAGGGTCTGCCCATGAGTGAGAGCATGTGGTACTCCATTCTGTTTCTATGATAGATCACTCAGTATTATAGATTCTAAATCCATCTAAGATCCTGCGAAGTCCATAATTTTGTCCTTCTTTATGGCTGAGTAATATTCCATCGTGTATGTGCACCACTTTTTTTAATCCAGTCTAGTTTTGATGGGCAGCACGACTGGTTCCATATTTTTGCTATTGTGAATAGTGCTGCAATAAATATACATGTACAGGTATCTTTTTGGTAGAATGATATGAGTTACTCTGGCTATATTCCCAGTAGGGGAGTTGCTGGGTCATATGGAAGTTGATTCCTAGTTCTTTTAGAAATCACCACTCTGCTTTCCATAGAGGTTCAACTAGTTTGCATTCCCACCAGCAGTGTAGAAGCCTTCTCTTTTCTCTGCATCCTTGCCAGCATGTTGTTTTTTGTTTTATTAAAGATGGCCATTCTTACTGGGGTTAGATGGTATCTCAATGTAGTTTTGATTTGAATTTCTCTGATGATTAGTTAGGCTGAGCACTTTTTTGTATGTCTGTTGGCTGCCCATATGCCTTATTTTGAGAAGTGTCTATTCATGTCTTTTGCCTACTTTTTATTTTTATTTTATTTTAAAGATGTGGGGTACAATTCAGGGTTAGGTATACAAATATTCATTATCCACGTACCCTTGTTGATGAGGTATGCCCCTCCTTCCCCTGGCAGTTTCTCTCAACTGCCAATCCCACCCTCCTCCCCTGGCAGTTTCCTACTACTGCCAATCCCTATCTTATAATATTATGATAATTGTTCAAGGTCTGCTTATGAGTGAGAATGTAAGTTCTTTGTGAGAGGTCCGCTTATGAGTGAGAATGTAGTCTGTTCTTTGTTTCTGTGATTAGTCACTGAATATAATTGACTCTAAATCCATCCAAGTTGCTGTGAAGAACATATATTTGTCCTTCTTTATGTCTGCATAATATTCCATTGTGTATATGTACCACATTAAAAAAAAATTCAGTCCGGCTTCGATGGGCAGCATGGTTGGCTTCATATTTTTGCTATTGTGAATAGAACTGCAACAAACACGTGTGTGCAGGTATCTTTTTTATAGAATGATTTGAGTTTCTCTGGGTATATTCCCAGTAGGGGGATTGCTGGGTCATATTTTTGCCCACTTTTTAATGGAGCTGTTTTTTTCCTTTTGGCATGTTTGAGTTCCTTGTAGATACTGCTTGTTAGGCCATTGTCAGATATACAATTGGCAAATATTTTTTTCTCATTCTGTGGGCTGTTTCCCTGTTCTCTTAATGGTTTCTTTCACTTTGCAGAAGATTTTCAGTTTGATGAGGCCTCATTTGCCTGTTATCTCTTATGATATGGTCATCTGGGGTTTTGATCAGGAATTAGTTGCCTACTCCGATTTCCATAAGGGTTTCTCCTGCATTTTTAAAGATTCCTGTAGTTTGAGGTTTTATGTTTAGGTCTTTGATCCATTTAGAGTTGATTTTTTGCATATGGTGATAGGTAGGAGTCCTGCTTCAGTCTTCTCCATGTGGTCAGTTTTCCCAGCACCATTTACTGAATAGGTTCTCCTCTCCCTAGTGGTTGTTGGTGGAAGCTTTGTTGAAGATGAGTTGGCTGAGAAATTGAGATTTTGCTTCCGGAATCTCTATCCTGTTCAAAAATGTTTTTTACATTTTTACAGTTGAAAAAATGTATCAAACAAAGAAGTGTTTCCTGACACACAAAAACGATGTCAAGTTCAAATTTCTGTGTTCATAAATAACATGCAATGTAGTCACACCTGATGGTTTTGTGCCATGTCTACGGCAGCTCTCACCCTACAGTAGTAGGGCTGGCAAAGTAGAGTTGCCAGATTTAGCAAATAAAAACCCAGGGCAAAACAACAAATATTTCTGAGGACATATTTAGGACACAATTTTACTAAAAACTATTCATTATTTATTGGAAATTCAAATTTAACTAGGTATCTCCTATTTTATCTGGTACTCTTACCACAAAGTCTAAACTATTTACTGTCAGGCCCTTTACAGGACACGTTTGTGGCTCTCTGCTGCAAAGCATGTTTCCTGAAGGGGCAAAAGGGGTTTCACTGGGGGTGAAAGTTCCTTGTTTACATAAAGCCCAGGTGAGCACTGGCAACAGATTCCTTTTTTTTTTTTTTTTGAAGTATAACCTCTCAGAAATTTTAATATGCTAATATGCATTGTAAATATTTACAAGGAGAGATAGAGAATGAAGTTTTTTCCAAGCTCACTGTTTAGGTTTGTTTTTTTTTAAGGCCCTCTAGAATCTAGAGTTCCTCAGGGCACACTAGTAAATATCCAGACATCAGGTGGACCCATCCAAACCCCTTTAACTTCCATATACCTGAGGCATAGGAGTTAGCATGATAGAGTCAGACAGAAGGGAAGAACAATGTTTCAATAAAAAGCTTCACCTCTGGGTTCTGGGAACACTTCCTCTCCATCTTTCTGCCTCATTCTCCGTCCCTGAGTGATATCTGCAGGGAAAGCTTCTGAGCACGGCCTGAGCCAGGGTAGTAGGTGAGCATGGGAGGTGGGAGGCCTGTGATGGCCTAGAGACCTGTTAGGAGCCTGCAAGGAGGCTCCTTTTAAAAAAAACTTGCTTGTCACTTTCCCCTATGGCTAACTGGATCTGACAGGGGAGGGAAAGGGCATGACTACCTCTTTGGGATCTGAAAAGACAAGGTAGGAAGGAGGACAGACAAGTAAATCACAGTATGGTGTCCTTTGGAACAGACCCAAATAGGCCACACACATAGTGACGCCTCCTGATATCTAAAACACTAGAGTATTCGTCATTTCTGTCATATATATAATTAAATGTGTGTGTGTGTGTGTGTGTGTGTGTGTGTGTGTGTGTGTATTAACTTTCAAGGCTCACATATGAGATTTTAGAAAAACTGAATGCTATTAGACTTCAGACCAGGACTCCAAGGAAAATGGATTTTGCTTTTACAACTTTAATAATGTATAAACTGCTATAAATAACTTCACATTATATTCTCTCACTGTTCTTTTTTATGATTCTCTGGATGCTCTTTATGTAGATGAAAACGGTTTTGAGGTAAATTATGTTTTCGAGATTTGTTAAAGGGATACCCGACCCTTTCAGTCGCTTTGGATCAAAGGGTAGGTCAGTTACCATAATCTGAAAGTCAATGGATGAGAAGAGGCAAGAATACGAGTTTACAGGAGCTTAACTCTGTTTTACCATCTAAGATTGCATATGCTGGCACTGAAGTCACAGGATGTTGATATCAAACTTTCCTAATTATCAAACAGTGTGGCCAAAATTAATTGTAAGATAGGTTGTTACCTTTACTTTATTCTTTTTTGACACTTTAGTTTCTCTGCTAGTTTACAAAATCTAGTGTCTGGCCAAATTATGGGCCAACGAGATATAGATTTCTTAGCTGCTACTGGGCCCTCATGTTATAGAACAGGATGACGTTGTGTCTGGGTAGCCAGCTTGAATGCCTCAGTATAATCAGAGTTCCATAAACTGAATTATGAATCACGGACATTTGCCAAATATAAGTTCAAAATTGTGCCACTGTTGCCTCAGCTGCTATATGAAGCAACATCTAAAAATAGTTGAGTCATATCCAGTATCAGATGCACCAAAATAAACTGGATATTTTTAGGCATTGCTGGCAACTTCTGGAGATGGGTGACATTCAGATGTTTTTATATCCATGACTACTACAATGCATGCTTTAAATATTCTTGTTTACCAGGCATTTAGATTAAACTATGTTCAACGTATTGACAATCATTCTTCATATATCTCAAATATTATAATGTTGCTAGTTGTATAAATATTTAATAACCATGAATTGATTTTTATTTTGTTTATTTAAATACCCTAGCAAATACAGATAATGGTGGCAGTTCACTTAGACACATTCATGTGAAACAAGCTGGAAAATATTCTGATGACTCTATCATGAAACCCACCATTAATTTGGAAGAGAAACCATGAAACGCACCTTCAAGGGCTTTGAAGAAGTGATGCCACCATCTCTTGCCATACTAAAGGGATATGATCTCTTAGTCTTGGATGTATTTCAATAATAAATAAAGTAGTGTCTTACCCATAAATGAGCTAAAAGAACTTTTCAATTCAATTTAACAACAATTCATTAAACACTTATGCCAGGTGCTGTTGAAAATACAAAATCAAATAAATAGTAAAAAAAAAAAAAATGAGCAAAAATAATTTTAAAGGTATAGCTAAACATAACTCATCATGATAGAAGACTTCTTTCTCATTGATTCTGTAGGAATGGTGAATCTACTTTGTAATATGCAATTCCTCATTATAAATTAAAAGCTACTACTTTGCTTGATATTATATATTTACATATTACATTCATTAATACAATTTAACTTGAATGGTGATTATTATATATTGGCCCATAGAAAATCTTGTTTGTCTCCATTAATAGCCTTAACTTAAAACATTAAAAAAAAAATAGGTGCCCCTCCTATTGATAACAAGTTGTGGGATGGGAAAATCATGCGTTTTTTGGAATTTGGTTCTGGTGTTTAGCAATCCATTTAGTTCCATTTAAAATTCCTACTGGTTGCTACTATGCCCCATATTTTTAAGGAAAACATAAGCAGATTGATATCCTGAAAAACTAATTATCTTTCATATATACTTGGCAATTTTATACGCATATGTGGACAATATTCTTCAATTAGAATTATTCATGTTTTAACGTTAGTTCATTAACAGTCTCATGACTTCCAAGATGAGCATTCCTAACACTGAATTCCACAGGAAGAATGTCAATTTCTAGTTAAACTTATCACTTTTTCTGTATTTTTGAAAGTTCTGCCAGTTTTATTAGCATGTCTACCTCCAGAGGCTTCCTTGTTAAATTTTACCTTTTTAGATAAATAGTATTTAGGAAGAGAATTCAAAGAAAGCCCTGACCACATTCTTGGGAATGTGTTCAGAATCCAGTTTTATCTTAGGTAAGCGATCTACTTCAAATGCATATTTTAATCAGCTAAAAGTAATTTACCTGTTGTCTTGCATTCTAATGGGACATTCTAAAGTATAAAATTATGAGAATAATTTTTAACCCATAAAATACAGCTCCTTAGGGAAGGATTTTTAGAAACAAGTCTCTGAAGCCCAGCCATGGAAAAGATCCAGATAAGAGGATCAGATTGGGTAGACAGTCAAACAATAAGTTTCTTTCTCCTTTTGGTTCTGTGTGAAATCTCTTGAAAAACGAATCACTCATGGCCTGCCTGTGGTAAATTCCCAAGAGTCCTGTGGAACCTAGGGAGAATGTGGAAAATTATGAAGCATCATTACACAGTGAATAAGTAAGTGAAGGATAGTCCAAGTGGGTCATCTCCGGAGTCTCTTGAGGATCAGTTGTGTCAACAGAGGGGCATGTGTCAGGAAGACCATTTACTTCAAAAAGGATCTTTGACAGAGGAAGCAAAGAACTGTTCCAGGAACTATAGCAGGTCCAGTAGGAACAGAACCTTTTCAATCAATTGGCAGAAAGCTTATCATGGAAATACATGCTACTGTGACATGCCATTTGTATTAATTGGTACGCACTTTTCTCCTTTTAAACTAAGTTTGGGGTATATTGTAGTCAGTGTTTCTGACAAATGGAGCCTCAACCAATGGAACAATCCAAGGAATTGACTTTTCTAAGTTCCTGAGTGGGGTAACAACTCAGTTGGACAGCTGATCCCTTCATACTCTGATAACTCTGATCAGCATTTATGGAGAAACAGTGGGCTCTTGATGGTGTTTTTGGGAGGGAGTCCACTGCTCATCTCCGTAGTTCACTTTGTCACATCGGGCTTTAACTGCAGTATTTATTAACATTTAGGGGACCTAAAATACATGCAGACCACATAAATCTAGATCATGACATGCCATTATAGCAAAATCATGATATATAAATTCAACATAAAAGTACATATGTCAATTATTTAGGTACAAATGTCTCAAGGATTTTGTACAACACATATTTATTGAGAGTTAACTATAAAGATGTCTTCTATGTTACCGATACACTAAATATAAAACAGTTTTCAAATTATTTGTGAGGCTTTTACTACACTCAGAATACCTTTTGACTTAAAAGCTCAAAAGTGTAAATTGTATTGTTATGAGAACAAAATACAATCATTGCTTTAATGCGGCCACATTCCTGAACACATCTGGATAATTTCATGGACACATATATTTATTTCATTTCTCCTGGTTGACATAAAAATCATGAATTTGGCTGGGCACGGTTGCTGAGCCTGTAGTCCCAGCACTTTGGGAGGCTGAGGCAAGAGGACTGCCTAAACTTGGGGACTCGAGACCAGCCTGAGCAACTTGGTGAGACCTCATCTCTACAATAAAAATCACAAAAACTAGCCAGACGTGGTGGTGTGCATCTGTAGTTCCAGCTACTTGGAAGGCTGAGGTGTAAGGATGGCCTGAGCCCAGTAGGTCGAGGCTGCGGTGGCTGTGAGCATACACTGCACTCCAGCCTGGGTGACAAGAGTGAAACTCCAACTCAAAAAAAAAAAGAAAAAAAAATCATGTATTTTTGCAAGATGTAACTCATTTTGATGTTGTATTTTGTTAATCACCTGGTAACTGGTAACTTTTATAGGCAAAGTATTTTTCCAGCATTTAAAAATCATTGTCTAATGAGACTCTCCTTCATAAAGGCATATTTAAACCTGCAAAATAATTTGTCCACATTACTGCTAATATGGACATCTCAAGTAGTAAAATAAACTCATATTATTTGTGTTCATGCATATGAAAGCTAACAATAAAATACTTTTATAAATTAAAATATTTTGTTTTTCATAGTAAGGCACAATATATACAGATTGACATAGTCAAATGACATAATTCTATGAAGAATTTATAACTAATATTAAGATATAGACATTGTAGAAGTCAAAGAAAATTGGTCAAATCAACTCAATATAGATTTTAGACAGAAACTGGGTTACTCTTGTATTCATGTGTTAAAGACTTGTATTTTTCTTCACACTTTATACATAAAAATATTATTTTCCTGCATTCATTAAAAATATAGAAGGTACACCATTGTTTATATATGTATTAACTTAAACTTAATAATATCCTTTGAAGTATTTAAAACAAAAAGGATAGGCTTATTTATTTTAAAAAAATTAAAAGAATGACAGTAGGATTATTATTAAGCCACAATTATTCTAGTTATATGATCTCACTTTTTAGTCTGACAAAAACATACACATTATAAATCCAACAAAATAACTTGAGTATCAAAGTACTATTTTTCCTAGTGTGTAATAATTTAATAAATTTCAAAGTCAGAATTCTAGACTAATTGAAATGTTTATATTCCCATATTAGGTTTTTCATATCTTTACACTTTTAACAAATATTTTAAAAATTAAATGTATACAATATATCCGAAACTTCAACTAGTAGCCTAATTTTTCTTACAAAAATTTATTTGAAACCACTTTTCATCAAATAAATAGTTTTAAATAAAGTCAATATAAATTGATTTAAGCTTATTATATAAACATGAAATGCATTAATCAAAACTAATATCCATGCATACCAAATCTCTTAAAATAGTCAAATATCATCTAAGGCAAGTTCTTATATATATTTGATTGCATTTTTTGTTTTTCATCCCCTAATTTTTTGTGCTTACATAACTGATATCTTTATACTTGGGCAGTTGAACTTTCAATTAAAAATGTAATGTTTTCTTTTTAAAAAAGTATTTGGAGTGTGTATCCATTTATTGATATTTACTAAACTTAAAAATAAAAATTTTTATTAAATATTAGCTAAAATTAGTGGTTTACTATGCATTTTATAAAGGACAACACAGGTGTTCGTTAACTTGGAGATCAGTTGTGCACACCTTACAATTCAATATTGCAATATACTTAGTCATTCAAATATTCACTAAGTACTTACTGTACTTGTATGTTGAGCACTGTTCTAGGTGTTGCGCTATTTTATATGTTTCAGTGTTTGAACAATATAATATTTTGGTACCATTTATCCTTTGTGAAACTTTTTAGATGATTTAGTCTGTTATCATTGAAATATTTCCTTTCTCCCAAATGCAGCTATTAAGTTTTACAAAGGAGAAACCTATTTTTCCTTTAAATTATGTAAATATTTTATTATTTGAGATTAATGAATAAGCTGTTATTCCCCACCTCTCTCAACCTGCAATCCTTCTCTCAACCCTTGGCTCTTGAACAACCAAGATTAAGGAAATACTAACCCACAAAAGTCCTTCCTTAGAAAAAGAATTAAGTGTGGAGAAAAATCTTCTCTCAAAATGGATTGAGTCGTATTCCAGTCCCTAAAGGTGAGAATGGATTCACTTTTGCCCACATCAAAGCATCATTCAATGAGATAGCAGATTTCCCATCTTCAAGGAAAAATACAGGGCCCTGCACAGAGTTGAGAAAAGAGGAGACTATAAATAAATTTACAATATATTTTTAAACATTGAGAAAGAGAATCACTGTAATACCAAAAAAACAAAAACAAAACCCAAAACAAACCACCAGTGATATTTAGACAATGTTAATAGAAAATTTAAGAATATGAGAAAATTATTTTTTTTGAACTGCAACCAAATATAGAAACATTTTAAAATAACATTGTCATCATTCCCTAATGTCTGTCAATCATAGCTTTATGACTTAAATTCTTTAAATACAGTAGTGCTACCAATGACAACGGGTATTGTTAACCTATTGATTGTCACACAGTTTACATATTTTATGAAAGCATATATGCCTAGCAATAGACTTTAGTACATTTCACTATTTTAATCATGCAGCCTATGTTAATACAGTTGGGGAAAGTACTTAGGCCAGAAACCTTGAACCTGTTCTCCAGAAGATGAAAAATATTGCTCTGTATGTGCATATATAATGAAAAATGTGTTCAGTCATGTGATTTACTAACATATTGATAATTTAGTTGCCAGTTGTTATGTTTGCTAAGGGTAGTTATGAAAAACGAAATGCAAAACACTTTCAATCTATATTACCCAGCCTTGAGAAGGAAAAGCATGAGTTCAAAAACACAAAATGTAATCAAAATTGTATTTTCTTTCTTTTTTTTTTTGTGACTATAACTGTTTGGGGTCTAAAAAATTGGATTTTCTTAATTAGGTTCTAAAGCTATTGTGTATTGGTCATAATTTCAAATGATACATTTTGATGTTAGCGAATTATTGCTAATAGTGAAAAGTCCATCATGGGATAGGTAAAGCTGCCAGCTTCCAATTAGTGGGTACTTGAAATTTCACCATTACAACTCAAACATTCATCTTCTGTTGAAACAGAATATCCTGGCAGGACTGCACTCCATCTGCATTATCACATGTTCCTTTGTGTATATGAAATAATTAGTGGGTCCTTTCCTGGAGGTGGGTTTGGGTACAGAGAGGTTAGAGAGTATCCATCTGTTAGGTCACTTGGCGACTCCAGTGGACACAGGAAACCTCGAGGGACAGAGGAAGGAGACATACAGGCGCCAAGAACTAGAAATGGCAGGTTAAGGGCAGCAAGTGGCCTTGAGACATCCTCCAACATTTCATCACTGTTTTGCTCTGAATAGCAAGTGAGTGAGTTTCCTGCTTTGGTTCCTTTTGTCTGCAAGTATGTGGATAATAAAGGTGTATACAGCTACATGCCCTGTGTTTTGGAACATCCTGGTATGTTCTGATACTTAATTGGCTGAGCTATGGTTAGAAAAGTAACATCTAAAACTAAGTAAGTTAGCATAGAGCTGCTTCATTTATTTTGGGTGGTTGTGCTAAAAATACCCTCTTCATTGGTCTGGCATGTCAGCATTAGATATATAATTTTCCAAGTTACATTAGAAATATGAGACTCTGCTCAGTAAAATGTGTACATTACTGGGAGGTGGGCTCTTTAGTCTAACCTGTAGTTTCAATTAGCATTTTCTGGGCATTTGGCTTTGTTTCCTTTATGGGGACTCCTCCAACGAGTCCTGGCTCTAGGAGTATGAAGATGTCTCTCTTTCTTCAAGGTAATAGCACCTCTGGGTCATAGCAAGAGGCTCTGGCATCATTCATCATCATTAATCTGATTGTACATTAGGGACCATTCATTGGCAATTAGCCAGCCCTCACAATTGCTCCAAATAATTTTTAATTGCTGAAAAGGTCAGTAACTCAATGTAAGAACATGCACAATATACCAACAATGTATTACACATTGCTCAGTTTTAAATTGCTTTGTGTTTATGCAACACAAATGGAGACTAGAGTTAAATTTAATCTACTGTGATAGAATTGTTTGTAACTCTGTTGATTGCTGCTTTGTCATACTTATGTCAGTTCCCTTAGAATATGATCTGATGTACTTTAAAACATATGTTACTAGCTGGGTGTGGTGGCTCATGCCTGTAATCCCAGCACTTTGGGAGGTGAAGGCAAGAGGAATGCCAGAACCCATGGGATGAAGAACAGCCTGGGCAACATAGAGAGACCTTGTCTCTACAATAAATCAAAAAATTAGCTGGGCATGGTGGCACATGCCTGTAGTTCCAGCTACTTGGGAGGCTGAAGCAGAAGGATCACCTGAGCCTAGCAGGTCGAGGCTGCGGTGGCTGTGAGCATGCCACTGCACTCTAGCCTGGGAGACAGAGTGAGACTCCAACTCAAAATAAAATAAAATAAAATAAAATAAATAAAATAAAAGTTACTAAGTATACATATGATATGCTACTAAGTATACATATAAAAAATTTATTACTAAGTATACATACTAATGAATTGTTTCTATGGTAATAGTAATAATGACTGTCTCTCTTAATTTATTTTAAAGAGACTGTTTATACTAAGGAAGCACTAAGGGCAACATTTTCTACTGGAACCCAGACCTCTCCATAGTTACTTACTTTTATTCAGCTTATTTTATTTTAAGACAACATTTCCAAAAGTATCCACACAAAAACAATGAAAATGCACAACTTATGCCTGATATTAGGCTGTACCTGGATTTTTAATCCCGTAAGACAAGAAATGTGAATATCAGAATGACTTGGAAGATTTGATCCAGTCACATAATCTGGTCCGATAATTCCTTTCAATGACTCTTCTTTTACCCTCTTTAATAAAGCTGCATAAGCCAGTCTTTGTGAATCAGAAGGCGGAGTATATGGAGAATCTTCTAAAGATCTATATTTTCAACAGATGTTAAAATTTCATTTTTATAGAATCATAGAATTATGGAAGTTTAGATTATAAATAATCCCTGATGATTACTTAGCTCCCCATTATAGTGGAGACAAATTCACTTTAGACTTAATTAATAGTAAAACGAAGGACTTAAAAAAGGCAGAAAAGAACAACATTGTAAATTATTAGTGAATATATGCTAAACAAGTCAAAATTCATTATTCTACTAAAATTAATAATAAGACCATGCACATTTCCAGCAAGTCTGTCTGTAACATTAAATAACTTCTGCATTCCAACTTTTGTATCAACTCACTCACCTGTTGGTAGACTGTGTACAAGCTCTCCATGCATCCAGTTCCTCAGAAAGATGCTCAATTTTTAAAGGTACTGATACCTCTCGACGTTTTAATAGCTGACTGAATATGTGAAAAAGAAATTAACATCTGATACCAAAAACTAAGATACCAGAAAAAGCAAATAAACTTGAAGTAACTGAGCCGGGCTTGGTGCCTCAGCCTGTAATGCCGCGCCTTTGGGAGGCTGAGGTGAGTGGATTGCCCAAGCCCACGGGTTCGAGACCCGCCTGGGCAGGCAAGACCTCATCTCTACAATAAAATCAGATAATTAGCCGGACGTGGTAGCGCGCGCCTGTAATTCCGGCTACTTGGAAGGCTGAGGTGGAAGGATCGCTGGAGCCCAATAGGTCGAGGCTGCGGTGGCCAGGAGCGGCCACCGCACTCCAGTCTGGGCGACAGAGTGAGACTCTAACTCAAAAAAAAAAAAAACTTGAAGTAACTGGAATTTTAGATTTACCAGTTGTTCAAAAAGACACTTATGTGTATACATACTATAATTACATATATATTTGCTTTTATATTTAGCAAAGTCCCTGGCGAGTGAAAGATGCTCAATAAACACGGTTGGATGAGTGACTGAGTAACTGTGATTGACTGGATGGATAAATGAACTACACAATGTATAGAGGATGATTAGCTAAGTCAAGCAATGTTGAACAGCCCCAGTGAGAGAGAACTCAGCCCTGACCCTGACCGTTCAAACCTGGATGAAAGAAATATGACACCTTCAAAAGAAAGAGAGAACCCAGGAGAAGGAGCAGATTTGAAAGAAGTATGTTTTGAATTCTGAGCACGTTGACTTTCGGCTGGAGTTTAGCAAGCTGAGTATGCACACAGGAACCTGGAGAGTTGGCTCTGCCTAAACATGAAATAATGAGTCATCACCACAAAGTGATAGGTGAAGCTAAAAAGTGGCGAGGTTTCTGAAGGACAGACCATAAGGAGGAGAGGGGAGAGAAGATGGGTGGAGACGGGAGGAGAGTAGATGGGGCAGGAAGACAGGAAGGAGGGGTGGAAGACAACGCCGCACTGGGGAGTCCTATGTTTAGTGGGCTAGGGAAAGAAATACAGGAAGCACGCAAGAAAACAGAATCGTCAGAGTAGAGGCGTTCTTTAAAATCAGGGGATTCTATTTCTTTGAGTTGGAGTCTCACTCTTGTAAGACTTGTTGCCCAGGGTGGCACGCTCATGGCCACCACAGTCTTGACCTGTTGGGCACAGGCGATCCTTCTGCCTCAGCCTTCCAAGTAGCTGGAACTACAGGCACTCGCCACTAGCCCAGCTAATTTTTTGATTTATTGTAGAGACAAGGTCTTGCCATGTTGCCCAGGCTGGTCTTGAACCTGTAGGCTCTGGCAATCTTCTTGTCTCTGTCTCCCAAAGTGCTGGGATGACAGGTGTAAGCCACTGCACCTGGCCAAAATGAGGGGATTCTTAATTTCTCTTTCTAAACTAACAATTCCCCTAAACTTAGACACATTAACTCAAGTCTCTCCTGAATTACAAATAAAAACCCTTAGTTAATTAAGGATATTTTCTCTCTTTTATCATTACATATAGCAGAACATCTTTTATTAAATATTAATTCTGTGTGATTCATCCTAATACTCCTATATTTTATTTATTTATTTATAAATATTTATTTGAGTCAGGGTCTTACTCTGTTGCCTGGCTCTCATCATCTTTTTCAAGTAAGGCTACATAATTCTGGCCAGCGAGATGTAGGCATAACATCCTAAGGGTTTTCTTCTTGAACAAAAAGTCTTGCCAGAAAAAAGCCCTGTGGTTTCTTTTCCCTTCTTTCTTTTTTTTTTCTTTTTGAGTTGGAGTCTCACTCCGTCGCCCAAAATGGCACGCTCCTGGCCACTGCAGCTTCGACCTGCTGGACTCCGGCGATCCTTCCACCTCAACCTTCCAAGTAGCCGAAACTACAGGCTTGCGCTACCACGCCCAGCTAGTTTTTGATTTATTGTAGAGATTAGGTCTCGCCAAATTGCCCAGGTGGGTCTCGAACCCGCGGGCTCAGGCAATTCACTCGCCTTGGCCTCCCAAAGTGCTGGGATTACAGGCTGAGCCACTGAGCTCGGCCTTTACTTCTTTCTTGCTTAGAATGTAGTCATAGTACACAGAGTGCTAGCACCTATCTTGCAACCGGGGAAAACTCAAGCAACAGGAAAGAAGCCAAAAATGTCAGAGTTGAACGGGGGCAGAGGGATAATCAGGTCCTTGATGAAATCATGGAACAGCTGTAACAGCTCTAGAATGCCTCTCTCCAGTGTTGTGATATGCAACACCAATACACCTATATGTTTAAGCTAGTGTTAGAATTTCTATTATTTACAGTCTAACATATTCTTAAACACACCTAATTAATTGCTGCTATATTACAAAGCACTTGCTAAGCAAACAAATGGATGCATGTAATAATATATTTGATGCCTTCTATAATCTACTTAGAGACTTCCCATCTTAGTGAAATAAATCTCTCTAGTTCCGTGATAGAAGAAAAAAAAACTTTTTACCTTGTATACTCATAAAGTGCTGGAACAATGCTTTGGTACTGTTTTGTGATAGCCAGTAATGCACCGATGTAACCACATAATATGAGCAACTCATTTCGAGCTCTGAAAAAGAATATGTATATATTTTAAATTCCACAATTTGAGGCATAGAACATTACTCTCATATACAGTCCATGTACTTGTACCTCTAAAGTCTGATGGGTGACATTTATAGCAATATGTGTTTAGAAAATTTTCTAAACTTGAGGAAGATGATTTATTCATTAGCTCATAATTTCTACTCAGACATTTATGCCGTATCATCAATTATAATTTAAAATAAAAGTCTTTAAATAGTATGTATTTCTTGGCTGCTTGTCTTCCTTTATTTCCTGGCTGTTTCTTCACTGCTGTATTTCTAAATAACTCATTTGGTTAGATTTAGGAATTCCTGGCTATTGCGTGGGTTCCAGGCAGGGTAAGAACATCGAGCACACTTCTTACTAAGGAAGTTCAGTGGTTTTCCAGGCTGCTGCATTTTCCCATGTAGGCATGACAACAAAAAGAGCACAAAGCCTCGCTTGCAAATGACACACGAGTCTCTGAGGGCTTTTGTATGGATAACAATGTCCTTAAATGCTACCTGAATTTAGGGATGGCGTTTATTTTCATCTAGAACTTTTACTTCTTTCTCCCAAGCCTAGCATGATGCTTTGCACACAGTGGATGTTAAATAGCTGTGACTACAAGTTTCTTGGGGACTTCTTACTCTCCAAAATCATCCAAAGGCTTTGAACTAGCTTTCTTTTTTCTTTTTCTTTTTTGCTTTTTTTTCTGTAGAGACAAGGTCTTGTTGTGTTGTCCAGGCTGGCCTTGAACTCCTGGGCTCAAGCAGAATCCTCCCCCCTTCGCCTCCCAAAGTGCTGCTGGGATTACAGGTGTGAGTAGCCATGCTCAGCTTAGTGAACTTTTTATTTTGGCAGTCATATGTGTAGTTTCCAAGATATCTTTCTCCTTGTCTGTTCTCTCTTTTTCATAGCTTTCTAGTCTTGTTTTATGGATATAATTCACTAGCTAGAATTTAGGTTCCTATGCCTGTTTGCTTGTTGACCTTTCTCTTTCATACTGACCATGGGGATTGCTGTGTTTGTGAAAGAAGGACACTGTTGACTAGTGTTTGGAACACTTCTTTTGAGCCAGAGTTTCACTCTGTCACCCAGGCTGAACCGCAGCCTCAACCTGCTGGGGTCAGGTGATCCTTCCATCTCAGCCTTCCAGAAAGCTGGAGCTACAGGCGTGTGCCACCACATCTGGCTAATTTTTTAATTTAATGTAGAGATGAGGTTTTGCCAAGTCGCTCAGGCTGGTCTTGAACCCCTGGACTCAGGTAATCCTCTCACCTCCACCTCCCAAAGTGCTGGAATGATGGGCGTGAGCCGCCGTGCCTGGCTTAAACTAGCTTTCTTTGAACTAGGTATATATGTTTGTGTATGAGTGTGTATACATATATAATATCCACACACTGGATATTATTCAATGGGACAACTAATATTTAATATTCTGTTTCAAGTTAACTTGTATATTTTTTCTTAAGAATATAACAATTAAAAATGTCATTTTTCTACAAGTATACAAGTAGAGACCCTAAAAACCTGGAATTATCTTTTGAAGTGTGGGACCCTTTGTAGAACAGGCTTCCCCCATCAGGTAAGGGTTCTAGGAATCCATCGACATCACTGTACCAGCTGGCTTTATTGTGAAAGGCCGCGTTCGGCTTCAGTGAATTTTTTTGGAGATTCTTTCAATATGTTTGCTCATTTCACGAGAGGTGACTTACCAGTGCATCTGCCCACACTGTGCTGAGCGTTCAGCAGTTTCTGGGCAAAAATGGCATGGCCCTTGTGTGCCCCACCCTCCCTATTCACCCGATCTCACCCCAAGTGACTTTTTTTAGTTTCCCTGGATGAGCATCGTTCTCAAAAGAAAATGTTTTGCTGATGTGGAAGAGGTGAAAGAAAAAATGGCATCAAAATGGATGAGATGAAAAAAATGTTTTTAGCAGTAAAAACGGGTGTCAATAGTGTACTGCATAAAACAGGGAGTTTCTGAAGGTGACTGAAGTGTAAACATGTAAGAATTAATATACAATTTTTATGAAATAAATTTCGTGGTTTTTTGAGTCCCCTCTCATAGCTACCTGTGTAAGATCATTTGATTTCTTGATCTAAACACCAAGAAAAAAAAAAGGAGCCATTTTAACACACTGCATAGATTCAATTAAATATTTTTGGGGAAAAGTACTCACTCAGCACATGTATGCAAGACTAATTTTTCAGTACGAATATAACTCAATAGGTCAAGAACAGGGTAAACGGTATCCAAAGTCCAGTTCGAACTACTGATGTATTCTGGCAAAATAAAACCAAATAAAAGACGCTAAATAATAGTATCAAAAATTGTTCATCCAATTTTCAACGTACATAATTAACTCTCTGTCAGTCAGCTCTACCTTTTTATTTTCCAGATCACACGTATATTCTTATTCACATTATCTCAGGGCCCCAAACTATAAAATCAGAAGAGATGCCCTACTCCACATTAGTATCACTCTCCTTAAGTTTAGTTTTGACCAGTTCTTGATCTTAAGGCTGATCATCAATATGAATGAAACAATCAAATAAATGAGTAGATTTTAAATTATACTACCAAGTAAAAACTTACCTTTGACGAAGCTAATGCCAATGGGAAGGGCTTTTTCAGGTTCTTGACTTAGCAAATAATACTTTACAGTTTCAAATATATTGCCATCTGCATGGGCTGTCTCAGCCAACTGCATGCATTCTTCTACCGTGGGTAGCCTGCACTAGAAAATAATTGATTTGACAATAATGTTACTAAAATGTATAGGGATAAAAGCAAGAGAATAAGTACTAAATATTTCTAATATTCCTAGTATGCACTTCTTATTAAAGTTGTCCAAAACAGATGTAACTGAATTATTTGAATTAAGAGCATAAATTTAGGGAAATATCTTTAGGATTTAAAAATAGTAAGTGGAGTCATTAGCTAATGAATCAGTAATTTTTCATCACACAAATCCCTTAAAAGAGGTGGAAGTAAATGGTTCTGATTGTAATTTTGGAATGAGTACCCACAAATGCAATTTAGCAAAAATAATAAGGTTAGTTATTTTCGAACAAATATACTGACCATTGTAAAAAACTACATTAAATGCAGCAACATAAAAGGTACATTATTACTTATCCTTTACACTGTAATTTAATTTTACTTTGCCTTTGAGACAAATCAGCCTTATTTCAGAGACATAAAAAATGTACAAGCTTCAAAAGTTTTTAGCTTTGACATTTTGAAATGCCACAAAATGAAGACTTTTAGTCCATGAAATTTCATTATCATAAAATGAAAAGCCACACTTTCCTTTTTTTTTTTTTTTGAGTTGTAGTCTCACTCTGTCGCCCAGACTGGAGTGCAGTGGCCGCTCCTGGCCACCGCAGCTTTGACCTGCTGGGCTCCGGCGATCCTTCCACCTCAGCCTTCCAAGTAGCTGGAACTACAGGCGTGTGCTACCATTCCCGGCTAATTTTTGATTTATTGTAGAGATGAGGTTTCACCAAGTTGCCCAGGCGGGTCTCGAACCCGCTCCATTTTTTCAAATATTTTTTCTTTCTTGAAACTAAGAGTCTGATCTTCCTTCAAGTAAGTTGGTCTGCTTCCATAATGTGTGTGTAGGAGTTAAATTACCTTTTATATCAAATTCCAATGTAATTAGGATTTTTGAAGCTTAAGTGTTAAAGTTTGTTTCCAAGCAATGTTGATAGTTTCATGCTTTATTTCCATTTATTTATTTATGCATTCATTAAATAATTGTATATTTCTTGTTTAAAAATTCAGGAAGTTAGAAAATTTTAGACTTCTCAATCTTTCAAAAAAAAGTCAACATTTCATACTGTTTTCCGATCCTTATTCATGAAATGTCAGGTGTTTACTGAGCAACTACTCTGTAGGAAATAATGTACTTGGCTACAAAGATAAATAGGCTTCTTTACCTTGATATATGCTTAGAGTAGAGGGAATAAAAAATGATTCCCATTTCAGTTTCATTTTCAAGTAGAATATACTAAGAGCAGGATGATCATCCTTGTAATTCTTGTCTTATCTTAAAATTCCAAAAATAAATGCATAACGTCGTATCTGAACGTATAGTTTTCAGCATTACAAACAGTCCCCAACTTACAATGATTCGACTCACAATTTGCAGCTTTATGACAGTGTGAAAGCTGGACACTAAGAAGAAACTGTACTTTGAGTATCCATGTAACCATTCTGTTTTTCACCTTCAGTATAGTAGTCAATAAATTACATAAGATATTATTATAAAATAGGATTTGTGTTAGATGATTTTGCCCAAGTGTAGGCTAACCTAAGTGTTTAAGGTAGGCTAGGCTAAGCTATGATGTTTGGTAGGTTAGGTGGATTAAATCCATTTTCTTTTTCTTTTTTTGAGGTGGAGTCTCACTCTGTCGCCCAGGCTGGAGTGCAGTAGCATGGTCACAGCTACCCCAGCATCGACCTGCTGGGCTCAGGCAATCCTTCTCCCTCAGTCTTCCAAGTAGCTGGAAACACAGGCACACGCTACCGTGCCCAGCTAATTTTTTGATTTATTGTAGAGATGAGGTCTCGCCAAGTTTCCCAGGCTGTTCTTGAACCTGTGGGCTCAGGCTATCCCCTCACCTCAGCCTCCCAAAGTGCTAAGATTACAGGCTTGAGCCATCATGCCCAGCCCTTATTAAATCCATTTTCAACTTAAAATATTTTCAACTTACGATGGGTTTACCCATCATAACCCCACGGTCAGTCAAGAAGCACCTGTACTTGTGAAATTGTTCAGAGTTATTAACACCTTTACAAATACTCAGTCTTTGTACCGAGTTATTAATGAAGTCTGACCAGAGAGTCTAATTATATCCTTTCAGAACATGTGATGAAAAGATTAAGTGAATAATATTCTTGCCTCTATCATCAAAAGCTGTCTCGGCTAACTGCAGACATTCTTCTACAGTGGTTAGCTTACACTAGAAAATTACCGATGTGACAACAATGCTACCAAAATTTATAAAGATAAAAATAACAGTATAAGTGTTAAAGATTTGATCCTACAATTAGTTAAATCATAGCACTGCTTTCAGACTAGAATGTTTAATATCGGCATACCTTCTCATGAAGATCATTTATCTCCTCAGTACACCCTGGGTAGAAAGCACAGAGTTTCACTAAATGCAGCTCATTATCAGGAATCATCAGGAGAAGATCGGCTGCCAAATCCCTGTTTATATCACAGAAGAAAAAAACTTCACTGAGGAAAAGATCTAAAAATAACATTTATATGAGAGGACATTCACATAAAATACTTCTCTTGCTTTTCTATTTACACAAACAATATTAATATCCTACTTCATTTTGAAACTACTCTAAATGCAGACTACAAAAATCAGAGTGTATACAACCAATTTATGATAAAATTCCTAAATATTCAAAAAATTTAAACTATACATATATGAGTCTTTACATTTATAATCAATTTTATAATTATAGAATAATTCTCTAGCCAAACTAAGTAGTTTTGAGTATATTCTTTGGAGTGAATTATAAAGCAGATTTTGTGAAAGCTAACTCTCATGAACTTTCGTTCTGCTTGTCAATAATGAAAAATTGTATTCGTTCATTGAAATCAGTAGACTGAGCAATTTTAAGTTTAGAATTTTGGCTATTCTGCATATTTCTTAAGCGTTAGGTGGAAATAAAAGATAGAAATGTAGTTTCCTTATTTACTATTTAAATATTCAATCAGTGGAATAAATCATTTGAGGACTTTAAAATATGGACTTAGCAACTTTACATTAAAAGTATTTTCCATAAAATCCTCTCTGCAAATCACTTGGGTGAGGAAATTTTGGTTGCATATATCATAACTACGGAAACATCTAAATTCAATGATTCAAGCTACTATTCAATTTTTAAGAAACTGACACACAGACATTCAGTATAACTTCAGAGTAGGTGACATTTCAAGTGAGAATTTATAAAGCTGTGTGCTGGGGCCTCTGAGAATAAAGTCCAACTTCATCTTCCTTGTAAAGACTTCAGTAAAATCTGCATTAGTCATTCTTGTGAATTAATTATTTTTAAAAACTTATGAAGGTGCTTGATCAAGAATATCATGAATACAGAAGAGAAATAGAGACAATGTGCAACGTCTGGTGTCAATTCAAAATTTTACTAACAAAGATACACACATATCACAAACTATTAGGACAGTCAACATTTTCCATTAGGCTTACTTAAAGGTTTTTAGAATAAAAAAAGTAGTGAGATATAACATTTTACATAAAATATTTTAATAATTCAATGCTCTACTAATAAATAATTTTCTAGATGATGTCAACAGAGAACTGCTAAAAGATTATAATAATTTTCACATTATTTTCCCCTAACCATTTAATAATTATACATAATATATTCCAAAACTGTCATATTTTCTATTACATTGTGCAGGTCAATCTTTCAGTGTTTTTACAAGTTCCAAATTAGAGCAGTTTAACTGTTCTTGCTAAAATGTATGAATGACTTTATGTGTTTTCTGATGTCAAAATTTAATAACAGTTTAAAATGATGTCCACAAAAATATAGAAAGTATCATTTGCTTTTACTGTGTACAAAATAGCTGTGTTACAATTCTATTCAAAGTTCTATGGACTACAGAAAAAAAATCTGACTTTCTTAATGTAGAATTACATCCTGATATCATAAAATTTATAGGAAGGCTTACTAATTCTATTCAATTTTCAATTGAATTCACTGTTTTTTTTAAACTACTATGTGAATGGGGAAATATGTGTATAACCATATGTATTTTATATATTATATAAAATATATTTATATACATAGATATTTTATATTATATAAAAATATATACTATATATATATAAATGATATGGGCCAGCCAAATAATCGAAACTCTTAAACTTCACTATCAGAACAGGTATTTCATTTTGCTTAGCTGAGTTAGTTACTATTTGGTATTATAGAAAGCCACATTTCATTTATTATACAAGTATTAAGCATAAAATTATAAGTAACTTTGTATGTGGATTATAGGAACTGTTCTCATTACTTTGTAGTTATGTTTCATGTGCTATAAATTATATATAGGAATTGGTATACCACAAAACAGTGTGAAAATAGTTAACAAATATTCTTAGTATAGAGATCATATCCAAATGATAAAATAGTATGCAATTTTTAAATAAACATGTGTTTTAAATAAAAGTAGATAATACCTGTATCCAACAGATGGAAAGCTAGAAAGAAAATATTAAATATAAATGGCATAGTTATATGATGAATATCAAGAAGAAACAAACTTTTACCAGTATGTGTAAACAAATGAAGTGTTTATGGTTGATAAAATCCTGAACATTCTTTTAAAAGTATGTAGCTCTCTTCTTTTATTGTATTTTTAAATCTGTGTAATTCACTAATAGTCATGAGGATTACAGGTTTTTCCTGGAAATAAAGCTCATTGGCACCATATATTTCAGACTTTGAACTTTTTCCTGGTTTCTCTTACAAATATCTATGGATATATAAAGGTAGAACTTTTGGTTGGGTAGAGTTACAAGGTAGAAGTGCTCTTTTTTAAAAAAAATTAGATTCAGGGGGTATAAGAGCATGTTTGTTACATGGTATATGGCATACTGGTGTGGACTGGGCTTCAGGTGACCCTGTTCCCCCAGATAGTGAGCACTGTACCCAATAGGCAACTTCTGAACCCCCAAAACCTCCCACCTCCCCACTTTTAGTGTCCCCAATGTCTATTATTTCTATCTTTAGAACTTTGAGCTTCCACACATGAGAAGATGCAATATTTGGTTTTCTGTTTTTGAGTTAGTTCACTTAGGATGATGCCCTTCAGCTCCATCTAGGTTGCTGTGAAGGACATGATTTCATTTTTTTTTATGGCTGTGTAGTATTCCATGGTGCATATATAGCACATTTTCTTTATTCAGTCAGTCGTGGATGGACACTTGGGTTGATTCCATGACTCTGCTATTGTGAACAGTGCTGCGATGAAAGTAGGAGTGCAGGTATTTTCCTTATATGATTTCACTTACTTTGGGTAGATACCCAGTAGTAGGTGTGCTGATTGAATGGTAATTCCACTTTTAGTTCTTTGAGGAATCTCCAAACTTTTTTTCAGAGAAGTTGAACTATTTTACAATCCCACCAGCAGGGTATGAGTTTACCCTTTTCTCTGCATCCTTGCTAGCATCTGTTGTTTTTTGACTTTTTAATAATTTTAGCATTCTGGCTGATGAAAAATATCTTATTATGGTTTGAATTTGCATTTCTCTGATGGTTAGTGACGTTGAACATTTTTCACATTTGTTGGTTGTTTGTGTGTCTTCTTTTCAGAAGTGTCTATTCATGACCTTTGCCCACTTTTTGATGTTTTTTTTTTCATGTAGAGTTGTTTGAGTTCTCATAGATTTTTGATATTAGTCTTTTGTCTAAGGCATAATTTGCAAATATTTTCTCCTATTCCATAGGTATTCTGTTCATTCTACTGATTATTTCTGTTGCTGTGCAGAGGCCTTTCAGTTTAATTAAGTCCCATTTATCTATTTTTGCTTTTGTCGCATTTGCTCTTGGGACCTTCGTCATAAATTCTTTGCCTAAGTCAATGTCCATGAGTTTTTCTTAGGTTTTCTAGAAGTTTGTTTTTTATTAAAAGTAGCTAAGACATATAATTGGTTGAAATATATTTAAACATCTTTTAAATTTAATATACCGTTAAAAACACAGGTTTGAACTGTATGGGTCCACTTATATGTGGATTTTCTTCCACCTCTGCTACTCCTGAGACAGTAAGAGGAACCCCCTCCTCTTCCTCTGCCTGCTGAACATGACGATGACAAGGATGAAGACCTTTATGATAAGCCACTTCCAGTTAACACATATTAAATAGATTTTCTCTTCTTAATGG